AGTGAAAAAGCAGACGTGGTAATTAATATTGCTATTTAAATATGACAGGCTCGTAACTCCTAAGACACGGGAAATACAGCTGCAAATGGACTTTGCTTTTTCATTTGAAATGTGGCAGTCACTGTGCGTTCGCGAAAGCGAAAATGGAAACGGTAATGCAGGATTTGCAATTGCATTTGGATTATGTCACAATTTATGCGTCCACATATTGAAAACGCAATTGAAAATACAATTTGCAATTCCTTTTGAAAATTGTCCGGAATATCGTTCCATAATATAGTGTAACATTTTTCAAATATAAAATGAGATAAAATACATTTAAAATATGTAAATGTAAAATAAATGTAAAATGTAGTATTTTTTTTTTTATAAAAACTTGTCAAATGTCAATATTGTGTGTGAATGTATGCAATTTGTTTTACTCCTTATTTGTAAGAATCAGCTAAATTACTAATTTTCTTCACTATTCAAATTTTTTTAAATACCCAAACAGATAATGGACATGTGCAAAAGATTCCACATCTGAAATCATTCACATCTGTGTTTGCATACTTGTGTAGAGTGTTTCTGGCATGTTCATACCTGTCAGCCCGGCGTCAATGGATGGTTGCTTGCAGTCTTGAGCATAATGTCCGCTCAAGCCACAGTTATAGCAGGACACGTTGTTGGTCTTCTTCATGTTGGTTCCGCTAGACATCATTCCGCCAACTGGCGGAAAGACAGGTGGGTAAAAGCGACGGAAGGGGTGCATCTGAGGCAGACTGTATCCCGCCTGCGACGCCAGCATGTGCTCCGAGTGAGCATGCAGGAACGCCGCAGGAGGACCGGTGTGGGGGTAGAAGGGCAGCGGCGTCCTGTTATTCTGGTGACCCTGGGCAGGGAAACTGTTGCATAGAGAGGGAGGGAGATGGAAGAATGCAGGCGGTGGCCCGAAAATCTGACGGGCAGGTTGGGGTTGGGGCGGCAGGAAGTAGCTGGGTGTCAGGTGGGCACCGTTTCCTCCACAGGTGCCACGGCAGCCGCAAGCGTTGCAGCCCCCCTGCTGCTGCTGCTGTGTACCACTGGCCTGTGGCGTAACTGGCAGGCTGGAGCTGTTGATGTAGGACAAAGAATCGCTCTGAGCGGTGCTGTGTGTGACCGCAGGGGCTGGCAGGGGCCCCGGTCCCGGGGTGTGCGTGGGTACAGTTGTGGGGCAAGGTCCTGGTACTTGGCTACTGCAGGAATTTGAGCTGGAAGGGGCGTTGGCGTTTGTTTTGACGGGGTTGTTGGCGGGCTGCAGAGGACACTGGCCGGGCGAGAGGACGCTGAAAGCCCCCAGTGGTGGCTGTTGCTGTGGGTGAGCGCTGGCCGATGATGCTCGAGGGTCTTGGGCCAGCGGGATGGTGATGGTTATCTTACCCTGCCCCGCGTCTCTCTGGGTGGTGGTGTTGTACTGCAGGGCGTAAGGGAGGCACGCGGTCAGCGACAGCTCCAACACTGAAGGAGGCTGCGGAACATTCTGGGGCTCGGCAACTAATAGATTCACCATGGCAACCGCTTTCCCGCCAATGCCTTTGGCGAGGTGAGTCTTTTCAGCTGGTTCCTGGGCTGAGTTATCAGACTGACTCTCTGTATCTGAAGAGACACACATTAAATCATTATGTAGATTTCATTTCATAATTCATAATGGAATTAAACTACTGTGAGAAAGGAGCCTCAAAAGTGGAAGTCATCAAAGCTCAGTAAACTTCTATGATGGTAAACGGGAAAAACTGTTTTTGCATTTTCATTTGCCCCAACAGCAAAAAAATAAAATAAAATCACAATAGTATTTCTATGACTTTACAAAAGAGAGAACAAAACAAAAACAATTACATTGGTTATTCAATTTTCTGTAATTGAAAACAGTCATGTATCTACATTAAAACAAACGATATATATATATATATATATATATATATATATATGTATGTGTGTATGTATGTATATATACACATACATACATACATTATATATATATATATACAAGTATACAAGCAAGTAGATAGAATAGAAAAATAGAAAGCTAGTGTTTGTCAGTTTTTTGTTGTTTTTAAATAAAAAATAAAACAAAAAAGAAGATAAATATAGATAAAGTAGAATTAAAATAGAATAGAGAGTGCTAGAGTTAGAGGATCAAATAAAGATGGAAGAGATGTGTTTTTAGTCGTTTCTTGACGATGGTTAAGGACTCAGCTGCTGGGATTGAGTTGGGCAGGTCATTCCACCAGGAGGGAACAGTTAATGTAAAAGTCTGTGAAAGTGATTTTGTGCCTCTTTGAGATGATATGTATGTGTGTATGTATGTATATATACACATACATACATACATACATTATATATATATATATACAAGATAAAAAAAAAAAAGTTAAAGTTGAAGTAGTAACATTACTAAAACTAACAGTAAAAAAATAGCTAAATAGAATTTTTTTTAAAAATCTATTAAAAAGGCAAACACAAAATTACTATAAATTAAACTAGAATTAAAATAATAATTGTGAATATAAAAAAATCAAGCTAATTCAAAACATTAATAAATACTAATATATATATATAAATAATACTAAAATAACACTGGTGCAGTTTTTGAGTCACTGTTGAAAAACTCTGTTGTTAGATCACATGGAGAAGCCCTCGAAAGACAATTTTTGCATTGATAAGAATTTTAAAAAAATGTAGAGAATAAAATATTAAATGCGACCTAATTTGACTTGCTTTCTTCTTATTTAAAAGCAATATTCTGTGTAGACGTGACTGAGTTCGTCGTTCTGCTAAATGTCTCCTTTTGTGTTTCACATGGGTTTGGAACAACATGAGGGTCAGTAACTTACAGAATTTTTTTTAACTAATTACATTATGAATAACACACCATGGTCCTCCAGGCTCTTCTGGTGAACAGGACTGGACGGCACGGAGTTTGAGCTCTCTGATGATGTGTCCCCATATCGGTCCCTTCCTGTGTCTACATACCAAAAGACAGAAGAAAACACGGCTGTAGTTCTTTGTAAGTGAGTAGTACATGCATGCGGTATGTATTTGGAGATGCACAGATATCAATAATTTTTGCTTTGTTGTTTTTTAGCCATGGCACAAAGACCTTTGCAAGCTGCCTGGTTGATCATCAGTGCTGCAGAAGGTTTCTGGATTCCATTAGAAGTCTTGACACCGGTAACTCGTCTGCCTCTATCCCTGAAAACATACAACAGCAGTCGTGACCATAAGCCCTACCCGATGCATCGGTGAATATGCATGCGTCATTGCATTTCAAAATATTGTCTCAATTCAGACACAAACACCAGGTCAACATTTCAATCTGCACCCATATAGAGGGCAACTAAACACAGTAGTGGGTGTTTGTGTACCTTTTTCCAGCTGGCCTTCCTTTGTTCTTCTGTCCAGCTGTGAAGATTCTTCTGTCATTTGTGCAGCTCTGCAGGGAGACAGAATGCGAATATGTCTAACATGCCTCAAAACAATGACCAACTTTGTCTGTATTACATTTTTTAAATACGATGCAAAAGTAGTATTGCTACACTGTAATCAACTTAGTTCATTAGATGCATGTTTAATTCACTAAGTTGAATCCTGCCTTCCTTTTAAAAAAATTAAAATGGTTACTAAACATTTCTAATCCAATTCTGTAATAAAACCTCAGAACTTTTGACAGATGTTAAAAATTCATGGGGAATTACTTTCTAATTCATTCATTACTAACTTATGGTAATGAATGGCTATAGTTCACACAATGAAGTAGTATTGCTACACTGTAATCAACTTAGTTCATTAGATGCATGTTTAATTCACTAAGTTGAATCCTGCCTTCCTTTTAAAAAAATTAAAATGGTTACTAAACATTTCTAATCCAATTCTGTAATAAAACCTCAGAACTTTTGACAGATGTTAAAAATTCATGGGGAATTACTTTCTAATTCATTCATTACTAACTTATGGTAATGAATGGCTAAATTGTGGTATACAGTATTTAACCATTTCTTTATAGACAGTATGCATTAAAAATTGCAGCCTGTGTGCACAGTATTCATACTGCAGAAGCACTATCAGTCATATGCCATTCCAAGAATACCAAAGAGCGAGAAACTATTTCACAGCCTCACCTGTTCCAATTCAGTTTCTTTCTTCCAAACTCTCTCTCCATTCTGCTCACAGTTTCCTCTCCTCTGGCATTCAGAGCGCTGATTACTACAGGGAGAAGAAAACAGATTATGTGACAGGAAAAGACTCTACTGATCCTTACAGGACAGACCTGATATTAATCATGTACAGCGGCCTCAAGTATTTGGACACTTAAGCCACACTTAATACATGAATGCCATCGCATTAGATAATAAAATATCAAACCAAGTTACATTTATATAAAAAAAATTTTTTTTAAAAAGATTACACGTACACTTTACAAGCAAAACATTAAACACAAACACAAAGTAAAGTTTTAAATTATTAAACAACATATACACTGATGTTCAAGTCTTTTTTTAATCTATTTGAAAGAAGCGTTCATCAGATATGCTCATCAAGGCTGCATTTATTTGATCAAAAAGTAAAGCACTAATATTATGAAAAATTAATACAATTTAAAATAACCGTTTCTATTTGAATATATTTGAAAATGTAATTTATTCCTGTGATGCAAAGCTGAATTTTCAGCATCATTACGCCAGTCTTCAGTGTCACATGATCCTTCAGAAATCATAACAATATGCTAATTGTTACTCAAGAAACATTTCTGATTATTATCAATGTTAACATTTTTTCTCAGCTTAATATTTTTGTGGAAACAGTGATGCATTTTTTAGGATTCTTTAATGAATAGAAAGTTGAAAAGAACAGCATTTATTTGAAATAGAATCCTTTTGTAAAATGTCTTTACTGTCACTTTTGATCAACTGAATGCATCCTTGCTTAATAAAAATATTCATTTGTTCAGTGAAGGTCTACCTCAGTCCCGCAGCTCTGACGCTGTAAGCCTCCACATCTGTAAAAGAGAAAAGTCACTGATGAGACGGTAGCATCAGTACAGCATTAGCACTTGTATGTGTGTAGGCAAGTGTTTCTAGGGCAGATCTGGCAGGTCTGTATCTCTCTCACCCTCCTCCAGGCTGGAAGTCTCCGAGCAGTCCTCAGAGAAACCGCGTTCAGGCTGATGGATTCTGGCTACGGGCGCACTGGTACCTGCAGAGACGAGCAGATGGGCAAGTGTTACACAGTGAAATCATGTTTAGTCTATTAATATACTGATATTTGGTCATTTTAACATTAGTCATCAACTGATAGCATTTTCTGATCGGCCAGTCAGAAGCATTCTCACAGTGGCTGCATGGCAGTACAGACGCATCAGACAGGAAGAACCTGGAAACATCACATCTCTGAAGGACATCCTGTGATAAAGACAGGAACTTCTCCCTGCAAAGGAACACGAGAGAGAGAGAAAGAGAGAGAGAGAGAGAGAGAGAGAGAGAGAGGGAGAGAGAGAGAAGTTAAAGATAT